ACTATTTTGCCCTTAAGGACCTTTGTAAACCCTAACTATATAAAGGGTGCTTAGCAGTTTTTTGTACACACTTTTCATTCTCTGATATTCTCTCGCCTACTTCATCTTCCCCAACACTCTCTCTCTCTTGTATCAAACCTCCATTGTTGATCTGTATGTTCATATGTTAATATTAACGTACATATATGTGTATTTCCTTCTTCGAATTTTTCTGTCTACACATATTCAACCATTAGAAAGCATATCATTGTAACTGTCAAAATCCAACAAAATACCAATAAAAGCGCATTTCGATGGGAATTTTTCGTAAGATTTTTCGTTGGAATCCATTGAAAAATTTCAATAAAAATAATTACTTTGAAATTTCATTAATTAATACCGTCTTTAAAATTTCATTGAAATTTTTTATCAGGAATTTCATTATTTTCTTATAGCGAACCGTTACTCAATCTATTATATACTAATTATACTTTTTGAGTACATACGTATATATATTTTTAAAATAAAATATTATAATCTTAAAAACAAACAAAAATCAAAGTAGTACATTTCATAATAAGGAGATGCTACAGTCCCGTTATGGAACCATTCCTTCGAGGTTTGTAATCGTTAGATCAACTGTCCTTGACGGTTACAAACTCCAACAGAATGGTTACGCAACGGGACCGTAGCATCTCCCTCCGTATTATGAAATGTAATGCTTTAATTTATTTGTTTTGAAGATTATAATATTTAGCAAGATGATGAGCCCGTCGTTGTAATTAATTTGCATATATACAAAGGATAACAAACAAAGGAAAAAAAATGAAAGGATGTGTGTGTATCATGCACGTGAGGAGGACCCTATAGATGTTGGTGAAAAGGGCAAAAACATTTTATCTCTCTATTACAGACACATATATACAAAAATAAATAAATAAATAAATGATTGAAACCCTTCATAATTCTGCAAGTCAATAACATTGGCCTCACTCAAATCTCTACTATAAAAACAAAGCAACATTTACAATTATTGAGCAACTTTTATAACCTTTTGGAGCCAAAAATAAAAAATAAAATAATAATAATAATAATAAAGAGCAAAAAAAAAAAATAAATAAAATAAAAAGAAAAACATTAATGGCCCTTGAAGCTCTTTCTTCAAACGAGCTCTTGGAGCTCATCATGTGCGGTTCGAACATGGGCCCATTTAACAGCGGGCCATCTGTGGATCCGCCGCAGGAAACCGCCGCGCCAGAGCCGCCGGCCGGCCGGAGGAAGCGGCGGCGGCGGGCGAGGGCGTGCAAGAACAAAGAAGAGGCGGAGACGCAAAGAATGACCCACATTGCCGTCGAGAGGAATCGCCGGAAGCAGATGAACGAGCATCTCGCCGTTCTCCGGTCGCTCATGCCGGAGTCTTATGTCCAAAGGGTACGGCACATAAATCTTGTTTCCGATATCGATAAGATGAAATGATTGACTCACCATGAGTTTTTTTTTTTTTTTTTT